AACACATGTAAGTTCACAGGGAAAAGCACAGACATCATTTTGCAGGTACAGAAAAATAACAGCACATATCAAATAAAAGAAAATTTAATGCTTACCCATAAACCATGCAAGGTATAAGGTTGTGCCCAGTCACTGAGTCAACAATAGGATCAAAGCAATCCTGAAATATGGATACAAACACAGAAAATTACTTTTTCCAAGAGAAGAAAATGACATTCATGAATAGTTAGGTTTTGAGAAGGAATCTATCTGCAAGATATACTCTAACAACTTGAAAAAAGATTTCACCTTTCGCAATAAACCAAAACACTTGGTTACCAATTGTAGAGGTTTTAACCATACACAAATTAGTTTTTTTTTTATAGAAAAAGAAATATTATTAACAAAAAACTGAGAGAAGAATAAATTAAAGGAGACCCCCCACGAGTTAAAAAAGTAAGATAAAGCAAACAAAACAAGAAACTAACTCGTAGAAATGAAAACATCCCAATTGCAATGTAGGTTAGAGATGCAAATAGTAGGAAAATGGCCGTGGGCTAACCCACAATGTAGCAAAAAAAGTGGCTCTCTAGCCATATAAAAATTAGTCTCAACAAGTCACCAATATTTGCTGCTTACAGGTCGCTACTCATAGCCTCAATTAGTATTACAATCAGGAGTAGCACATCTATTAAGTTCTAAATATCAAAAACAAGAGAACCTTACAACCCTCCTAACAGCAGGGACTAGGGAAACTAAAGTTAGCAGCATTCAAATGGTGACAGCTGAAGGTTAGTTTCCTTTAACACAGACAATATCTCTTTCTGCGGCAATGCAAATGCAGAAAGAAACTTCTCACCTGCTCCCTCTGAAAATCAAAGCTGACATATTTTTAAAATAGTCACCATGGAAGCATGCAAGAGATTTGCATGGAACAGTTAAAAGTTCATTCTAAAACATGAAAGAGTGGGATTATAAAATTTGTGTGAGTGGTCAATCTCTTCTTTCTGCACAGGTTTAATCAGATAACCTTGTTACTGCTCAAACTGTATCAGTTCATCAAGTGTACACATTGTTTAGCGGTCAACCATTTTAAGGATGTGAAGCTTAGCCTCTTCTTTTTCTGATTGCATTGTGACTGAGTTGTTCAAAAGTTTTCATGGAGCCATAACATTGTCCACCTTAAGTAATCATTGAAACATTCAGTTCCCATTTTCAAATTAGGGAACATCTTCATCTCCATTGTCTAAGATGTACCCATCCCAAGTTAAAGAGAGGAAAAGGAGCACCTTGAATTGATGTTCGAACAAATCAAATCTTAAGTCAGGGAAAAGAATATTCACAACTGATCAAGTTACATGTCTTATTACCATAATCATCACTTGCAATCATCAATTACCAAAAGAAGGAAGCATCTACAACAACCCCAGTACTTACATGGAAGATAGCAAGCGCTTGAGAAAGTAGTGACCTAGTTTCGGAAGAAGCAAACTTGCCACTAAGAAGTCTCCATCTAACGTCAACATCAAGCTCTGCATCAGAATTTTCCCCATATTTCTTCCTTATGACTTCCAAAACAGAATCTGGGAGTTTCTCAGCTCCAGAAACTTGCAACTTCTGCAATGTTGAATGGATTCTTGTGCAGTCCATGCAACAAAACCATTTCCCTTCAGGCAATGCCTGTCAAACAATTAGCATCAGCATTTATCCAGAAACAAAACCAAAACCTAGAGTTCTTTATACAAAAATAAATTTTGTAGAAAATACCATAAAAATCATTAACACACCTTCAAGTCTGCCATTTTATGACTCCTTAAACAGCCAATATGATATTCTTTCTCACACTGTTGCAAATGAGAAAAACAAATGAACTCAATTGAGCAACTTAATTTGTCTCTACAGAAAAAAAAATATTATATTAAGTCAAAAGGCGTAACACCAATGTATAGGGATACTTGTATTATTCAAGATCAGATGGATTCTAAGAACTCCTTCAAGAGTTCTAATCCTTGATAGACAACCTTTCTACACCATCAAGAGTTCTTCTATTCCCCCTCCAAATAACTGGAAAAAGGGTCCTTGATAGCCAATGCTGATAATGTTAATCACCTTCTTTCGCAGTGGCTTCGTGGGGCTAGAGTTTTTCGCAGATGGTTCTTTTGTACATCAGGTTGTCTTGGGCAGGGGCTAGGTCACCTAGGATGGAGATGAAATGAGATACAGTAGGCTTAGCCTCCCATTTAGTTCAATTCTCATGATATTTCCAGGTGATTCCTGTAATTTCATTATCATCTTATTGCATAGAGTCACAACAAGATGTTTTTGTCTCTCCTCACTCTCTGCTTGAATTCCTAAGTGGGAATTACATTTCTAGCACCAAGGATTTCAATGGAAGGGATGAAAGTAGCTAGGACATAAACAATCATGTTGAAATTGTACATATCACAACTACTATGAAAGTTAAAAAAAGAAATTAGCTAGGAATATAATGGAAATTGAACCAAATAGGCCATACAGATCTAAAGAATACCTGGTCACATATAATTACAGTGCGGGGACCAAATCCTGATCTGCTAAAATCAGAAGCCCTGAAGAAACAATGATTTTAAGAAGACTTGTAGAACAGCAAAGGCATTAAGAAATATCATAAACAATGATTTTTTTTCATTTAAAAAAAAAAGAAATATCATAAAGCTGGTCATTCAAATCTCAAACTTTATATTAAAGGTAAGATCATAACTTTTGGTGGAATTGGACCACTTACCTGCATAATGCACATCCACTGAGTTCTGTGTCAAAGTTTTTGATGATACGAATGCATCTCCTACTAATTTGTTCAATAGGATCAACTCCTAAAACTCGTCCAGCTGCAAGAGCATTGGCATTGTATCCTACAAACTTTTCTCTTTCAAACTTGTTCAGGCAATATTTACAATACCAGTCACCACGAGGAATACTTGGTAGATGAGCGCATTCTAAGATGGACAAGAAAGTTGACTATCTATTAAAGCTAATTACCGACAGAAATGAACAGTTAATGATAAGATTGATGAGGATAATTAGCATAGAATGAAGCAAGTAAAAAATAACTCTGAATGTCAAAATGTTAATTGAGAAAATACATAGTGAAGATAAACAAAAGGAGAAAACTAAACCGCAAGACAAACTGAAATCTGAAATTTTGTAATAAAAGTAATCCTACACGGATATGTTAGGCAGTAAATTTTTTAAATACAGAGGGAGAACAAGATAAATAATAGAAGTCAATCAGATTGGCATTCTATTCAAAGCCATCACTCATCTGCTAAGAGTGAGAAGCCGAAACTAAATAAGTAGGCTATTGAAATTGTTTGCACACGATAAGCAACCCAGTCTTTGAATTTCACAGAAAACAACAGTTTCCAATTGCAGTCACAACAATATCAAATTTCAATTGACTCAAAAACTATGCACTTACAAAATCAAAACAACTTGAGGTGCAGTGAAAGTAAGAAACATCACAGATCTATTGCCTAAACAAAACGCCCTAAAAAGCAATGGTTTTGATTGTCTGGAGGCAAATATACAGGACGCACTTAATCAATATTGAAAAGATTACCAGAAACTCAAATTATCTTTTGGTTTTGCAGCTAGACGTTGTTTCAAACACTAATTCGAAGGACTACACAACCTCTCCATTGTCAATGCATAGCATAGAGTAATTTTAGGTAAGAGCTATTTCATGAATAGAGCCGAAGAAAATAGAACTACCAGTCTTCTAAATGTTATTGCAAAATTCAAACTTCTTTTTGAGACTGTTATTGCTCCCAAAGCACCTTTCAGTTCTTCTCAAGACCTCTACTTGGAAGTTGGTCAAGCAGTGCTGCTGCAATGACTGGTTTAAAGTGATGAAAATAACTTTTTTTCAAGGTGCTTATTAGGCAAAAGTCATATGGACGTGATAAAAACTGTTGTGAAAATATTGTGAAAGTAAGGCAAATGCTACAACCAAAAAGAAAATGTAACAATAAATATAATGATCACAAAAAGATTGGAATATTGTTATCATCCTTCTTGAAATTTTCACATTGAATTATGATCTTTAAAATTTTCAGTTAGTTGTGTTTCATATGCAAATTATTGAACCTAAATATTAAATCAAACTCTTTGTTATTTAATTTATTTTTTTAATTTTAATATATTTAAATAATTTACAATAAATTATAAATTACTAGAAAATTTAATAAAAAATCAATTTCAGTGAACGAAAAGACTAACAGAAATAACCATTAAACGCACTCTTTTAACCTGTTTAGGAGAAAGTCATCTTCAAAACATATTTTTTAGCTCATCTTATTCTCATCAAAAAATAAATCAACTTAAACTTTTAACTTAAAACACTTTTATTTAAAACATAAAAGCACTTTTATTTAAAATATTCAGCAAAAATTTTGCTTTTTCACACAAGCAAAAGCCAGAAGTTTGACAAAATGAGCTGTATGAGACTGTAAACAATGCAAGTCCTGAAGCTGAACTCTAACAGGCTCGCAAGGGCAACTACAAAGAATTTCTTTTGTTTCTAGTTCTTTAAGTGAGTTCTAACCAACTTCCACAGTTTGTTCACACATGGTCGATAAAGCTTTATATAATAGCCAATATTTGGGCTATAAGGCCTTAAAAGAGAAAAATAATATCATTTTATTATAAAATCCTGAAGACACTTTATTATTATTTTTGAAATAAAAATAAAATGTGAATACTCATTTTATTATTCATAGAAGTTGCTTAATTGAAGCTATTAAAGTGCGTGAAAAAGGATCTGAAACTACACTCCACACCCCTCCATCTCCCTTCCAAGCCCAAATAAATCTTTGCAAAAAGTGAGGAAGAAAAGGTCAAATATCTCCTTCAAAATCAATTGATTAATGTTTTTTACCTTTGTGAAAGGCTCTAGGGCAGCCATCACAAAGCAAAAGATTCCCACCATCGGCACAAATAACGCACAAGTCATCATTGTCCTTGGCAGAATACTTCCTACCTCTTGAAAGAGATATTGCCAATTCATGGAGAGACACCCCATTAGATGTATAAATGTATGCATACCTGCCAGCAGACATGGAAATTTTATAGAAAAAATTCACTTTCATTTGGTAGGGCGAGCGTGGAAGGTGAACTATGAAGAGCAAAAAGTATCATAAAGCTTACGGCTTCCTACGAGATGCCCAGCCAGCATGAGCTTCAAACTGTGAAGGGCTGACCTAAACAATAAATGAGAGGTCCTGATAATTCACATAGAAGACTCAGGTGCTCTGAAATTTAAGAAGTAAGAAACAGTACCTCACAATTGCAGCAGCGACAAAATATTCCAAACCCCTTCTTGTAACCTTCAAGCAATTTCTGTCACAAGAACTAATTGGCTTACACTAAAATAAGATAGGGAAAAAAGATAAATAACCATGCATTATCTTTATCTCACAACCTGTCCACGGGCATAATATGCTACTTCAGTTCCATCCGGCAATCCATCTTTCTCAAAAACCAACTTATGCAATCTCTGGTCTCTAGATAAAAGGAAAGAACTAAAAAGATTAAATATATGCCAGAATGAAAAGACATACTACAGTTTGAGATTAACAAAAAAGATACCAACTTTATTGTTATTCTCCATTGAATCTTATTTTGTGAAGGAGCGAGCACAGCACTTTTGAATGACTTTCGCACAACAGGTTTTTTTTGCCTGAAAAGAACAAAAGTAGATAGAAAAAGTAGGTGAGAACATACTCATTAACACTATAGTCAAAGCCATATTAGCAAAAGACAAATTTTATCATCCAGCCTACATGGGGATTTCAAATCCAAAGAGGACCTAACCTTTCATAAATGAAAAAGGAAAGCTTAAGGCAGAAATTTTTTCTTAGAGATAAAGCTAGATATGTAGTAGACCTAACAATGAACCAAAAACATAAGGAAAACAAAAGGACAGCAACCTTTTTGTTTTTTTCCACTGAATCTTATTTCGTAAAGGAATACATGCTGAGGGACTCCGGGATGTCTTTCCTGTCAATCCTGGTCTTGACGACCTGACACAATGTAAAGTAGAGACTGTTACTTTTTCAAAGAAAATGATAGGAATTTCAACAAAATAACAACTTAACCAAGTGGAACATATTATAAGAAATATAAATCATATCATAAAATCTTAATATCATTTTGGAATAAAATTGTAGTTCTTCATTTGATTTGGGTAGAAAATATGCTTCTTGAAAAGAAATATAAAGTGAAAAAACCGAGACAAACATGCCACACCATAAGAGGAAAGAAAAAAGTGTACAGGTACCAACTTTCTTGTTATCTTCAGTGCTCTTTTATTTTGTGAAGATGTATAAACCGGTGGACATTTGGGTAACTTTGGAATAGTCTTTGGTTCTAATGCCCTGCAAAGAGCATATTGAAGCACAAAGAAAAATTGAATCATATGCCAATATGTGTATTGTTTCTTTAGAAGAGAAAAGTTGTTTATATGCAAGAAAAATATATTTAAAAATTATGCCCAAACATGTTCCAAAAATATAAACAGATCAAAGGGACAAACCAATAAACAACATAGAGGTACCAACTTTTGTGTTATCTCCTGCTGATCCTTATTTGATGAAACAATGTGTGTTGAAGTACTTGTTGACTCTGTGGTCAAAACTTGTACAGATGACCTGAAATAAACATGCAGAGAACCATAAAAAACTGCCTTTAGGTTTCAAACTACCTACAATGATTTTTTTAAAAAATCTATAAGTAAACTGCACTGACAAACTATTTTATTCTTAATGTAATAAAAAATCTATATGTAAAAACATCAACGGGATTGCATCCTTGCACCTTCCATTGGGCTAAGAAATGGAACAATTAAAGTCGATGCCCTCTTTTGTTCCTTAAAGAAAAGAAGAAGATTATATTAAGATAGAAAAAGAATACAAGATGAGAGGATATGATGTACTAAGGCAATAGAGGAGAAAACACCGAACAAGAAAGGGAACTAGGGAGAAGAATGAGCCACCCAACTCATTTGCAAACTAGATAAGATTATATCCCTGAAAAATTCATGGACTTGAGCTTGTGGAGAGGGCAAGAACGACACCGGATCCTAAATGAGTTCAGAACATTGAAAAGGCTAATGAAGATCCTGGATTTCTACATTGAATTCTCTCTTATTATACATTCTTACATCATATTAGTCGAATACAGCAAAGGATACTGACCAAAAGCCAAAAATGGACCACTTATTGAACTTCAGAATTACTTACTTTAAATGAATATGCTCAATTTATACATGATTTGAATAAAGAAAGTGGAGACCTGCAAAGTTAGGGGGACACCATAGACTCATACTGAATCCATGTCAAATGGCTAAAACCACTCTGATAATTAAATTGGCTTCTTTAAAATGTTCTACCCAACTATGTAGTAAATGGACTACATTAATCGTGCCAACTGTAATAGGTGTACATAAAAATACATTAAAAGATTACCGTTTCAGGAGGACACATAATTAAAATTAACTACCAAAACAAGCTAATCTTGAAATTTTTAGCTAGTCAATTGGCCCATCGATTATGTATCCTTACAAATTGGCAGACACTAAATGCTTTTATATAGAGTGTGAATGGTATAATGCATTCTTAATACTGGTCTGTTGTGTGTTTCACCTCGATAAGCAGAACAAGTTTCTCCCTCCTCTCTACCTAGATTCCCACAGTATCCAAATCTATAGCAATAACTACATAAGATTCAGCTTTTAAAACTAACTGCTGCAGGTACAAATCCAAAATAACAAGCATAAAAGTAACTGTATTCATAATGGTGATAGCATTCAAACAGCAAGAGAAATAGTAGGAGAATCATACAAATAATTTTGATGTTATTTAATCAACTAGACAAGACCCAGATGATAAATCGGAATATGCATGAAACTATCTAGATTAACAAATACCAAACCTCGGTCAATTTAAACGAACCCTGCATTAAGCTTTTCTCCTTCAGTATGTGTAACTTAAGGAGTTGGACAGAGTGATGGAAAATTATTGGATCTTGGTTTAAAGAATGCCTTTCCTCATTTACAATAGGACGCCCATTAACCTGTAAGTTCTAAGTACTAACCATTTTCTCAAAAATGACTCAGATTACATCTCCACTAAGATCCACTTTACTCCCTTTGAAGGAAATCATTGGAAGAAGCAATTGGGAATAAAGCTACTACACGGGCATTTGACTCTGCTTATTGGGTGCTTATAAGCACCCAATTTAAGTTTACCTATTTGGTAATATAATATACATGGTGCTTACTAAGCGGCAATAAAGAGCTTTAAGTAACAAAACATATAATGATTACCCTTGAATTTCCTTGATTGACTTAAAATGCTTATTCTTAACATGTTCAGTTGCTTACTTACCCTTCTATATTATTGTTTGAAATATATTATTTTTTTTCGAAATAAAAAGTATAATTCATTAGTCATAGGCACCAAGAGGGAGCAAACCATGCATAAAAATATTTACAAATCAGTTAATAAGTCAATTAAATCACCAAAATCCTCCATGGTGAGAATAGGAACCCATTACATAAAAAACCTAGGGTCTGAAATCATCTCCCTCAAATCCTATTGATATCCTCTTCTTCCACATTGATCGTTCTCCTGTTACTTTCTTTATTTCTACAACAAACATATTGAACTAAACACGTAACTATTTGTTTTTCCTAAATATATTTTTTTTGAAATAAATTTGTTTTTTTCCTAAATATGCTTGAACTACTAAGGACTTAAAGCATTTATCTTTCTAACATATTTCTTTTGACAATCTCAAACACATCATATTTAATACAACCAATTGACATTCAGCAGCTAGGTCCTTGTTAGCTAGAAGGCCTAATTGTTTATTTCTGCCTATCTTAGTTTAATTATGACTTTTGAAAAAATAATTATTTAAGTAAACTTATTATCAATTGATTTCATCAACTAAGATCGTGCAAACCAAAATATAAAGTGTTCGATTTGCATATTTGGGTATAAAGTGGAGATTAAATAAACGTTAATATTTGAAGTAAATGTTACCTAATATATGAAAAATTGATCAGGTAGGGCTCTAAATCAGTCCTATATTAGACATCTGAATAGTAAAGCTTAAATGAGAAAAAGATGTAACCATATTGGCTCAAACTCCACAAGTTCCAGTATTCATGAGACCAACAACAAAGCTGGGGTAGGCAGCTTCTCAAGAAAACATACCTAACTCTTAGTCCATTTGTAGAAGTAGGGTTGACTTGAGATTTGATTGTTTCTGAGCATGAATTGCACAGAGGCCCTACTTGGCCAAGACAATTTATAGGGAACAATCCTGAGAACAATTACACATCAAATAAAATAATGCAAATAAGTTAATATAATTGGTAAAAGTCCAGACTGCCTAATGGAATTGGAATGTATAATAGGAGAATGAACTTGCCTTTGCATCTTTTACAAGTGAAAGATCTTTCTTCGGGTGCAGCACTGATGGTACTCTTGATTGTTGTTTCCAGTGCATGCAGAGGAATACTCCTACAGGCTTTTAACACTTCCAACAGGCTCTTACCATTCTCAAAGCAAATATACTGTGCAGCCCTTCTATATTGTTTACAAGCATGAATCTCAAATTTGGAAGGTGGGATAATCTTCATTGCATGAAAATAGGTAAGAGAGGGAAAAAAATTCAATGGTCATTCTTCAAATTATCATACTACTCAGCATTCTAAACAATGATCGACAGAAAATACACGTACTCTGCATCCATTGCACACTGAACATGAGCACAAGATGCCACCATCTTTAATGATGCCCCGGAGACCAAATGCTTGAGACTAATATATTTCCATATATAGCTTCACTTAGGAGTAAATTTAAGCACCAATAACAAGCAATCAGAGAAGGAATTATAAGCAAACAAATAGAAGGGGAAGACCAAACCTTAATGCTGCCCATGTAAACTACTGAGACACCATCAAGCAAACCGGTATCAAAAAGCTCCTTAACTGTCAATGGTCTTTTGTTCAGTACAATCTTTTTTGACATTTTCAATTCTAGATTCTTCAATGGAGCTTTCAAAGAATTTCCTTCTACTGTTACTTCTTCATCTAAATTTGGAGTTATTTCATTCTCTATATCTTGTTGTCCAGAGTCCAGACACCCCACGGGTTCCACCTCTTTCAGTTTCAAGGCAGACCTAGTAAACCTCCTTAAGCTCCTTGCCGGGATATCATTTCTTACTGGGCTAACCCAATTGCCTCCTTTCTTGGTCAGTGGTTCCGCTGGCTCACTAATCGGCTCCTGTATCCACATGGACATATCCAATTTGCAATAGAGTTCATCCTCAATAAGATTTTCAATCCCCTGGGAGTCAAAACCAACTGCGCTCTCTTTAATCAAAGGTTCTACAGGGATCTCCTCAGTTGCCATTTCTACTACATCACTCTCTCCAATTACAACTTCAATCAACGGCCCTTCTTCAATTAAGCTTCTTGCCATGGAACTCTTTTCGGTCTTAGTTTCCAAACCTTTATGTCTATCTCCGGCTACAGTTTCAACCATAACTTTCTTTCCATTTACATTTCTTACAGCTGTGCTCTCTTCAACTAAAGGCTCTTCAGTTACCTTTTCTACCGTTAGATTGCTATCCTTTACATTTTCCATATCCATATCATCTTTAGTTTTAGTTACAATCACTGGCAGCTTTCGGTTCTCGTCAACAGAAGAGCTCGTAGAGTCAAGTTTTTGCTCCTCCAAGTATAGACTCTTACTATCCATTTTTCCAACAAATTTATCACGCTCATTAAACCTAGACTTCTTTATTCTAGTGTAAACAATGAAACCATTTACTTGAGTAGATTTGATTCTCTTACAACTGGTTGTCTCATCAACTTCTCCACAAGAACTCACCTGAGTTTGAGGCTGAGGCGAGACCGCCGGAGTTGAACTGAGAGAACCAACGAGTTGATACTCGGCATTCGACGCAGAATCTAAATCTCGCTTCATCTCTCCCACAAATCGATGAAAAGAAAAATAGCTGCATAAGTTTTTTTTCTTGTTAAGTACATCACACGTATCAGTAAAAAAAAAAAAAACTCATTAGAGAAAAAAAAATCCAATCTGATATCACAAAATCTGAAAACAACTGAGACAGAGCAAAGCTTTCCAGGGCTCAAAACGAAAATTGAGTAGCAGATAACTTACCTAAACTCAGAAAAGTCGCATGTGCAATCGAACGCAACTGAACATAAACAAGTGAAGAAGTGTGAGTGACATGGATCGATGTAGGCGAAACTAGGGTTTGGATTGGGGGATTGGCGGCGGTGCTGTGAAGTGAGAATCAAATGTTTGAGGAAGTGATTTTGGTAGTGCTGGAGGTGAAACTGACCAGTAGTAGCGAAGGGGAAGGATAGAGACAGCGGGGATGGCTAATCGGAATGGAAATGGTAGAATCCGTAAATAAATAATTATTGTTGAAAATACCAAACTGCCCCTGTCTCACTTTCGCTTTATCCGTAAATTAAGTGTAGGGAAGACAAATGGGCCGACTTTGGGTTTGAGAGGGCCGTATGGAAAGCCCAGTTGAATAAATAGTAAGATATATAAATTTTTATTTTAATTAAGAATTAAAATTTATAATTCTATTTTAAATTAAGATTCGAATAATTGTAACATAAAACCCGTTAATTAATGATATAATAACAAAAATTCTCACTCAAATAGAATTATAAAAATTCATATTCAAATTATTTATAATCGAGCATTTATTTAAATTTGAATTATATTAAATATGAATAAAAATGTAACTAATATTTTAAATAATAATTCTAAATTAATTATGACTTAGTTTGACCAACGACTTAAATTGGTAATGTAGTGAGCTATTTTTCCTAAAATAAGAATTTACTGTTATAAAAAATAATTATAATATTTTGTAAATTCCTTTTTATAAAACATAATCAATATATTGTACATAATACTTGTGTTTATTACTAATACAAACAAAAATATTATGGAAATAAAATTAATAAAATTATACTGTATTTAAGAAAAAATTTACTTTTTTTAGAATACGAAATTTATCTATTTATATAATTAATATGATTTTTCAGATGAATTATATAAGGTAATTATTTTGCTTTAAATCGAAGATGTTATTGTCAAATTGAAAATATGAGTATATTTTATTTAATAATGCAGTGAACATACATATATTTATTGAGAAAGTATTTAGTAGCGTTAAAATAGATGAATATTACAATACAAGCAATATAAGTAGGAAAATTATATTATCTTTTACTATTTGTACCAATTATAACACAAATAACGAGTCTAATTACATATTTATTTATATACAAACTAATAATTAATTAATTAATTAATTAAATTTTACAAAATTCTTTCATTAAGTAAAAAGCTTCTAAATGTCAACTCACATTCTAAAGGTAAATTATTATATATGTTCAAAATTAGAAAATAGAAATTAATTAATTAATTGATTAAAATTCAACCTTTATGAATAAGCTGGTACAATGACCTTGAAAATACTGTAATGTTAATTCATAATCACAGTTATGAATTAAATGAAAGTCATTTTTTCAATAGTTATAATTATAAAACAATAATAATTTAGTTAAATAAGCTTTGTAATAATGATTTAGTCAAAAACTTTGTAATAAGTGCTTATTACTCGGTAATTATTTCATTTCTTGCTTATATTTACATTATAAAATATGTTAAATGTCTTGTGATAATGTTTATCAAAATTTTTATTGGTCTGATGGTTCATTAACTTTATTAATTATAATAAATTTTATTGTCAAATTATTAATATTTAAAAATATAATAAATATTTTTTTATTATGACTAGTTAAATAGTTGTTATATTATTATTTTATAAAAAATCATGAATTTGAATCAAATTATATTATTATATGTATTATTGTTTGAAAATTATTTTTATTGTAGTATTATTTATATATATATATATATAGTAATTAATTAAAAATTTGTTGAAAAAAAAAAATGTAATAGTAATAGAATATACAAAAAAGTAAACATGACATAAACTTGTTAAGTACAAAAATTTAAGTTCATTACGGTAAATGAAAGTTCATTTCAATTAATGTGAAAGTCCAACTATATTGTATTATTAAATTTTATATGTTTAAATACATTGTATTATAAGAATTTATGTTATAAATTTAAAGAGATTGACCTCTTTATTTTTATAATACAGTTCT